TACATTGTAATCTGTGTCATAAACATCGTTAATATAGATAAATCTGATAAAATATCATTTGCTATAGGAAGCATGTTTTGTAACATAGGAAAGAAATAGTATGATATCAAAGAAAAATAAAATACTTAAATATAACCATAAATTCCTGTAGAATTTTGAACATTTTGAAAAGATTCAAATAAATTAGTAATAATGTTCAGGAAGACTTAAGAACAAACCTTCATTCTTGTATAGCCTTTTCAATTTGGCAGGAATATCGCATGTGTAACATTCCCAAGTTTTTTTCCATACATGATCAGGTTTTGAAAGAATGTCACCATGTAATAAAGTTGCAAACGAATTCCTGTAATAATGTCCTGTTCCCCAGGTAGCTGCCTCTCTGATGCAGTCAATAAATTCTTTATCATCTTCTAGTAATCCTCTTGCAAAGCAAGTATCCTTGAAACTCATATATTGTGTTCCTTCAAATGTCATTATATCTTCATAATATGTTGGTCCTTTGACTATGTTCAAAAGAACTCTCAGGTAATATGGTTCCCCAGCAGTAATAGGGACTCCATGAATCCTGCCAATACTTGAACCTATTTTTCTTTGGAACCCACATTTTCTCTTTTTTTTTTTCCACACAAATTTTGAAGGAAAATTTATGTATGTAAGGTTTTTTGCTTCAGGATATATGTTATTAGCTTCCATCCAACCAGTGAACATTGATTGTCTATTTGAAGCTCTATTAAGTACGCTTCAATAGTCTGATCCTCATCATATACTATGCTCTGTTTACCGGGCATGTGAAAACTTAGTCTCTCTACATGATGTGTTCGGTAATGTATTGGGAATTTAAACATTCACCATGCAGCTTCACAACCTGATAGATACCTCCCTTCATACCAATCCTTAACTTCATCCTTTAGACCCGTATCATAAACTTCTCTAACAGGTTCTCCATTTATGGTATATTTGAAACAGACGTGATCGGATCCCTTGTTCAAGTATTTAAATAAATGCTTTATAGCATCAGTTTGGTTACACCATTCTACATTGATGTGTGCATGATATGTAAGAGTCAAGTAGCGATTGTAACCCACAACCCATTTGTTATTCATAATGACATCATTTTTTTGAAAAGCCCTGCCATCATTTCGTCTTCTGTAAACTGGAAACCCATCTTTTCCTATAGTTGTTATGTCTTGGAATTCTTTGGGAAACCTCTTCGAAAATTCCTTATTCACCATGCAAGGACTAAACGGAAAATCATTACCACATGGTCCATGCATCATCATTTCAGTCACAATCTCGTATAGCACAGGATCATTTTCTTTATCAGGTAGTTCTGCACTTATGAACTTGTCAATTTCTTCTGGATTTGAAAGTTTGTCATCACGGTGTAACCACACTACTATATGTGCATGAGGGAGACCTCTCTTTTGGTACTCGACAGTGTACACGGCTGTTTATTTGAAAACAAATGTAAAATATTTAAACATTAGTAAATTCACTTTAGAATATTAGCAGATAGTAAATATTAGTCAAGCTAGAACTGTAACATACCTGCTTTTCAACGCCCAAATATCTGCTTTTCTTTAATGTCCTTCATTAATCTTTCAAGTTTCATCATGAAGACTCTGGAAACTATGTCTGGTCTATCTTCCGGTTTCAACCCTCTAGAGTTGCAATATCTCATAATTTCTGGCCATTTGTTATTGCAGGTAAATGTTAAGAAGACATCAGGATATCCATATGTTTTCACAACGGCCATAGCATCAATCTAATTTTCTCGTTTCCATCTATCACCTCCTGTGAAAGAAGATGGCAATACAACCCTCTGTCCAATATCTGAAATAGAAGAATTTCCTGTGTCAATTGACTTCTTAATATTCTCATAAGTCTCACATCGGAGAGTCTTTTGATTTTTTCTGACCCAATATATCCTTCCTGATTCTACTGTACTGTATCCATCAACCAGAAATTGCTGGAATAACCTGCATGAATGTAATAACATTGAACCGTCATTGTTTCTGTCCTAGATACGATATGCAAACCATTCACGCATACTCATCCGTGGCCCTTTTGATGATTCATCTTCTTCCCCACAATCTCTTTCATCATCATCATCATCTTCATCAGTTGAATTGCTTTCAGGAGGTCCGAGTTTTATATTGTTTCTATATCCATCTTCGCCATATGGAAATATTAGAGGGTATTGTAATGCTAGATACGATGGATGAAGCTCATTTATATGCTTCAGTTGTCTTGACTTATACTCAATAATGATGTCCCTAATTTCTGATTCATTACCTTCATCACCTGGTAAAATGGCTACAACCTCATCAACAGTTGGAAGATTACGTGTTCGAGCATCAGTTTCTCTAACACCAATTAATTTGAGCTTGATCTCGACTGAGGAGTTTGCTTCAACAGTATCTCGTACCTTCCTGTAAGTCTTCACTAACACATTGTGTTCATCCATGACATTTTTTATATCAGACACAATTTGAGCATCAAGTTGCTTTGAATTCTGTCTACTTCTCCCTGAACTATTGATGACAAATGAATAATTTCAGTTAAAAAACCAGGTTAATAATAATAGGCGAAGAATTTACAGAACCAAATAAAATTACTATTAATGTACTTTAGTGCTCCGATTCTGTTGTCCACTTCATTTTGAGTATCATATATGTACAATTGTGAAAATTTTGGTTTTGAGTCATTTTCTGGAAGAAGACTGCCCATCAAGTGACTGTTATGCCCTTGCATCTTCAATACATAAGGTGCACGACCATCATTAACTGAATGCACAATATTGCCACCCATTGAAGTGAAGGCGAACATATTATTATATGCCCGGATATTCTCTAAAAAATGTTTACTCTTGTCATCATTAGACATGAATAAGTCTTTAAGTTTCATTGGTGGTTCTATTAGTAAAGGTAGATGTATTTTCCCTTTCTTGCAACAAATTGAAAATCTGGGTTGTGCTGGTCTCTTGGATTTGTCTGACCTCTCATCATACCACATATTAGCTCCACAATATTCGCATACATAATATGGATCTCCAAGATCATCATACCCTACAATAATAAATAAATTTGTATTATTGGACTGAATTCAAAAGTTTTGTAAACTGACGTATTGTTGAATAGTCAAGAAAATCATGAAAAATAATACCTACATTTATAAGGCTGGATTTTTTGCGACTGACTTTGTATTTTCCAGGAACCAGAACACTTTGTGATTTTCTTGATGTGGTTTTCTGAGCATCTCGCATGGTATCTGCTGACGATGAACCACTTACGGAAGTTGTGTCAACAGAACATGTGAAAGTATTATATAGTTACAAAATATTCGAGGTAATATTTTATATTATAAAATTTTATAAATGCATAATTAAGCTATATGATTTTTCAAATATTAATAGTACTTTGTCGTAATTGACGATACATGGAACACTGGCATAAATAATTTGTCTTGAACATTAGTGCTTACCTGATATGTTTTGAAGATGTGCGGATGACTTCTTTCTTTTCTTCACTGGATAAGTGTCTATAATTATATAATGAATACAACTATATAAAAAAGATCGTTATGTGATGTCATGCAGATAATTAAAAACATAAAATGGATAGAAAATGAAGTACCAGGACTTTTCATACTCTGTACATTTGATTGCGACATATTAATAGCCATTGAATTGCTGTTATTGCTAGAAAAATTACTTAAGGCTCCCTCCTGCATCAAAACAACTGTATTAATCTGTCCTAAATTATTTATAACAACACCACCAGAAGTAACTGACTGGGTTCCCTGCATTTGAAATCTTGAAAAATTTTTCCCTTTTTCATGTCTAGTATTTGCTTCCTTTTAAATCTGGCATTGTTAACAACCCTTAACAGGAGTTGCATCTCTTTATGGCTGCGAACGATTCCTACTCAATAGATAAAAAATAATGGATTGAGATGTTATAGCCAAAGCACAGTTTATGAATATATCGCACACAACACAGCTTTTACAATTGCAATCGTACTACTAATATAAAACATATTAGTCCATTTCACTTTTTTTTTGTAAATAACTCGAGAGCATAAAAACTAATAAGACACTTATATAGAAAATAAGGTGGTTACCAATTGGGAACACAGACAATGTACTTGATCCAGTTTGAATTAATTGACTCTTCTCAGTATTCTGCAATCCTTTCATCCTCTTGTGTAGTAAAATATGCTTCCTTTTCATGCTGGCGTTTTTAGGACTGATGACTGGATTCTTCATGGGTGTTAATACCGTGACATCCCCCAATTCACCTTGTTTGATACAAATTTTTAACTCTTTTGTATCCAGTTTTATCTTCCTCAACCTTCTTGCTTCTTTTGCTGAAATCTGATCTATTAAATTTTTATTGTGTATGTATATGTAGATATGGCATACACATATACCCTAGATGAGACGTTATATATAAAGGTCTCTTATCCCTTTTTACATTCAATGACAAATTTCATTGAATTTCTTAGGGTTAAACAACACAAATGACATAGAATTTCAGAGATCTTGAAAGGGTAGGCCTTCAATATATATATATATATATATATATACATATTCTAAGTTATCTATCAGTAAAGAATCTGATCTCATGGGTTATTAGATAATTACCTAAAATTTTAAAATGATCTAGTTAGCCTTAAAATGGTATGTAGTATTTTTGTTTTAATGTGTTATTATTTATATTTATTATTGATTTATATCCAATCATGATATAAAATATAACTGTTAATTTATCGATAGAATAAGCATGTTAAAATTAAATTGTGAGAGTAATACCATTCATATGCATCATTTAATAAGTATCTTAAATTAAAGGACAAACTTTAAGTTATTTGATAAAATAAAAAGTAAATAAAAAGTTATAAGTATCATGTTACACATATACGCTGAGGAAAATCATACGTTCAAATGACATTTTGAACAATAAAATAAACCATTTTCTACATCCAGAATTAAAAAGGACATTAGAGAACTTCCAGTATCAATGCTTCCTTGTTTGCGACTTTTCTTGCATTTATACGGAAACCCAATTTGATGCCAGCAGGAATTTTCTTCATAACCATGATTGCTCTAATGTCTCCTTCCACAACAAAACGATTGGGGTATTTTGGCATATGATAGTCGCATGCTGATGATTGGACAATGATCATAATATAAAATGAGGGTTTTGTATTCTTCTATCTCCAATCTTCTGACTATGTACCACGGTATTTGCTTCAGTTATGACAAAACACAGACTAATTAAAAAATTTTGTACATGTAATGATTAATTGGATGATAAATTTGTATCTAAAGTATAAACTAAAATGATGAAACAACCGTTAATATGTACTTACTAGTCGACCACGATCAATTAACTCATTAGTCATGATCACAAAGAAAATGTTCTGATCAGTATTGCAACGAATGTAATCAACTATCTCAATCTCACCTGATACAGAAAAATGTGTTTTCTGTTTTTATTTAATGTTACATATAATCATATTGAATGTATGTGTGTTCACATGTGCATGTATAAAAAAAAACAAACCTTCAGAGTTGTCTGAATCAACAATGTCCTGGTGGGTACAATAACCTTCTTTGTTGAAAGCGCTCATTTTACAATATAAATGACCAGTGTATATCAGTATAACATGTACACACCTCTACCTATTATAGTACCATTCATAAAAATCTTCCCATTGTTTCCCTTGAAAACCTGAAGGTTCGTTATCATCCATAGATATAGGAAAAAGCCAGTGATTACCATTGTCATCAATAACTCTTGCTGTTTTCTCATGTGAAGGCCAACCTATTGTACCAAAATAACGTCTGCTAATGTCCTATAGAGATTTTGTTTCATTAGAGAAAAGGAAGTTAAAAAGTCGAAGGAAACACTAATGAACGTCAAATAATATACAACTTACACAACGTGATGCAGTGTTAAGATCTAGGCTAAGTAGATAACAATTTCCAATGTTGGCAGTGTCATCAAGGCTAAGACGCTGGCATCCATCATTGTAAAAATGGAAGATACGCAATAGATTAGCATCTTTGTAATAAACGATATGCATAATAGTTGAAGGTCCAAGGCCAATATCTCTGAAAAATTCTTCTAAAGCATTGCCATACAATTGACATCTTCCTTTCTTGTTGATATGAATATTTGCAAAAACTCTGCGATTTGCACCTCCTTCGATCTGGATCTGCACTCCAACATGCCTCATAACTGATGTTAGGTTACTGCTAAGTATCTGCACATAGAGTTGATTACATACATATGAGTAATTATAACTTCTTAAAGAGACATGATCATAACCATCTGCACATATGTTTAACTCACCAAACCATTCCTTCCAAAATCTTTTGGAAAAGTAATCAACTGATCATAACCATGATCCATGATAACTTTTTTAGAAATAAATGTAGGAAGATCACGGATTGAGTTTGAAAAGGATTATTTCTAGGTGGAGAACAATTTGCTGTTGAAGATGATTATTATTTTTCTGTGTGCAACTGCTCATATGCTGAAGGGGTTTTATATGGGATGTGTTCACACGATCAGACCTGTATCAGCCTAATGTAGGGTTTGGCAGGGACGTTTTATTTTACTCCCCCTTAAATAGGGATTTAACTTAACAATTGCACTGTTTAAATGAATTTATGCAGGCAGTTTTTAAGGGTGTGACGTCAGATCCCATTAAAATTGGGATTGTTAAGATAATGACCTCTAGTTATAAGTATCAGTAAACAAATCTTAACATAAAGGAAAAAATTATATATTTATTATTCAATATTGACCAGATTAACATAATCCCTGATTAGTAGGAATTTAAACTCTTGCTTTCGATTCATAAATGACTATGGCTGTTTCTTGTTCATAATTTAAACTCATCAATATATTTTATGTATATTGATATGTAGATGAACTTTTTTGATTTTCAAATAGAGTATAGAATTTTATTCACTTTTCAGGATTTCCATTATAATTCAGCTTATCACATTGCAAGTATTTTACAATACATCAACATTTTATACATCAACAGAGTTGGAACCGATGGATTAGCACCAAAGTAAGTTGTTCAAACTTTATATTACAGAATTGTTTTATATATATATATAATTTGGTCACAACACAGAGTGGATAAATTGTAAAAATGAACTGAAACCATTGCATATAAATTGATTTATTGAATAAAGGGAAAAATTAAGAAAACTTTCCATTAATGGGCGAAACTTTAAAATCATAAAAATACTGAAGGAGTAATCAAATGCTGAGCAAGCAAATGGTACGATAGTGTTTTAAAAACAGGGAAATAACAAAAAACAAATGTTCCAACGTAATAACATTCCGGAAATTGGATACAACTCCTATGATGTTGTTGTATTCTTTATTTATAAATAGACTGAGCAATCTTTCTTCTGAAGTCTGATCCGAGTTTTCTGACACGCTTGTTTGGAAGGGACTTCACACTATCATCACCACCCTGGATTGGTGTCATCTTCTTTGGTGGTGGGCTGTCAGCACTGTCATCCCCTGCATTTCCATTTCCTGAGTCACCAGTGCATGAAGCTGCAGTCTGCAAGTAATAATATAAGCTAGTAAGTACTCGTAAATCTATGCTCCCTAAGTAAATGTCAGATTGCTGTGTATTTTTAAAAATATTTAGCCTAAATAACAACCTTAGTTGTACTGTCCTAGGTGGGGGTTAAGTTGGCAGCAAATTCAACACTTAGTTCTGGGTCAATTTCCTGATATATTTGGAAGAAATTAGAGAAACGTTATATATATTAGCACATATCAAATGAATGTGAACATACGAATTATAGCACATGTAATTAACATGAATTTCTGAAACAACATCAAGATATTTCTTAATCACATCTGCATCAGTAGTAACCCTGGCAACATAAATCTCACTCGTATTGTTGGTTATGTTGTAATCAGATACATCCAGCTTGAAGAGGCATTTTTTCCCAATGATTTCGTCCAAAATTTTTGGTAGTCATCTTTGTCCTGTAAACATGTTTGACATTTAATGTTGTAACTGAAATGAAATGAAATAACAAAACACTTTATGTAGATCTGAGTAGCATGATGACTAAAATATGATACAATTTTGATTTTAAAAATTAAGAATGCAAAAGAAATGTTTAAACCTTCTCATGTAGCTCAGTTGCAGTCTTGTTAATGAAATTGTACACCATTCTGTCCCAAAGAGTAACAATACTACTCCCAGAACCATCCATTAGATAAACTTGCAACTTAAACCTGTGTCATAAGTTTAAACTGACTACGCAACTGTTAATCAGTTTTTAAAAAATAGACTGGGATATACTGTCTTTACTTAGGAGCAACAGCAGAAACAGGTCCATGCCGATTGCACATCCATTTTTTTGGAACCTGCGGCTTATCATCAGCGGTTTGTTTCTTCTTTCCAAATGATAGAGTCTTGGACTTCCCAGTTGATTTAGGTATTTCAGCATCCTCAATTTTGATAACCTTTCTGTTACATTCCATGCACCCAAGGTAAGACCAATCGTACTCCTTGGCTATTCCAAAAATTATTCCAAATATAACAACGTAGCTGATATGCTTATATTTTACCTATTTATTATATCCATAATTTGTGATTTTTGCAATATATTTTGAGTACAAATATGCTATTTATGTGATTTTTATCTTTAACTGTAGGAATTGTACTGAATTGGAGAAATTGTTGAAATTTTGAGCTAAAATCGAATTAAGAGCGACTCAATGGGAAAGAATTGAAGATTGGAGCAATTGATGGGGAAGAAATTAATGAATTTAGAGAGTTGGAGGGTCGATGATGCAATTTTGGAATGTTTAGTTTTTGGAAATTGGCCGAACAAACGATGATGGTGCGGCTGATTTGGGATTGGAATTGGATAAGAATTTTAATCCCGATATTATATGGGAAACAAGTTTTCTTCCTCTCCAAGAAGTAGGGTTTTGACGAAGGAATTTATTTTTACAACAGAACTGGACCGAAAACTGACCGAAACCTCACGGCTGAAAATTATCCCCCGCCGACCTCCTCGCTTCCGGCCGCTGCAACGAAACCGCCGACCTCCACCTAGCTTCCATAAAAACCGGCAGCCACTCCGCCGCTGCAAATCTTCTTCTCATCCACGCAGCCACCATCTCTACCACCTCTCCATCTCTCTCTCTAATCATGATCATCACATAACTCACCACACAACAGCAGCTCCATCACCTCTTCTTAATCATCATCATCCACGCATCATCACCATCATCAACTCTCCATCACCTTCATCACTAAACCCCAGCCCAAACTCCTCCAAACTTGCGGCGGCCACCTTCCCCCCACTCCCACTACCTTCACCACCTTGCTTCTCCTCCCAGCTCCACGCCACCGAAGCCTCCAACACCAGCTCATCATCATCTTCCTGTCCACGCAGCATCACCGAAGCAGCCAGCCGCACTTCTCCTCCCATCTAATCACCTCCACGCACCAGCAGAAGCCGAGGAAAAGAAGAGAAAGCAAGCAGCAGCAACATCCAATTTAGTGCGATAATTTCGGAGTTGTTTTCTCGGCTGGATTTTGTTGATACTGAGCCCGGGTTCCTATTTCTATTTTACTTTTAATTTCTGAATTTTGGATCATGAATATTATTATTATTGCATCATCAATTTAAATAATGTTTAGAGGTTAAAATTCTATAATCTAGGGCTTGGGTGTAGCCACCGAATTTATTTGGTCTATTTAGTTCATTATTATTTAATTTTTCCATTAATTAATATTTGTTATTCTTGTTTTAATTCGTGTAAGTAATTGGCCACTATTTGCATGTCTGAAGATATCAATTGAAGTAGCGAGAGTGGAAGATTAGTATTAGTTCGTAGAAATAATAAACTCAGGTTGTAAGCTACGAGAGTAAGATTATAACCTTTGCAATATTTGATTCTTAATGGTCTTAATGTACTTTTGTTAATCCCTATAGTCACGAGAGTAGTCATAGGGTTAATCTAAGTAAGAGAATTATAACACGAGAGTGAATAGTTCTTAATTAGGTGAATCGTTATGAGATTAATGGAAGTTAAAAGTCAGATATTTGTGAATTAAACTAAACCAAATATTCGGTAGGTGAACCCAATGTCCTAGGTTTCTTCGTCTAATTATTTGAATTAATATTATTTGCTTTTATTTTATTTATTTATTTTAGTTTTAAATTTTATAAATCTGAGATCCTCATTTATCTAGATAATAATAGGAGTAATTTATACCTGGTAATTAGTATTCCTTTTCTGTGGGATCGACCCTGCTTTCTGCTTTACTACTAGTAATTGTATTAAGTAGGTAATTAATATTTGACTAGTGTGACGACGGCTTGTCAAATTTGGCGCCGTTGCCGGGGAAGGCAGCTAATATCGAATTTAGATTACTTTCTTTTATTAGTTTAGATTTGTTTATTTTATTTTATTTATTTTATTGTCTTACTATTTTAGTGATTTCTTTTAAATATTTTTGTCTTGTTTTTATATGCGAAGTGCTAATTCTGAGACTTTGCAATTTGATCCAGAGATAGAAAGAACAGCTCGTGCGAACAGAAAGGAAGCAAAACTAAGAAAAGAGAAGAATCAGAGAGAAACCATGGGCGACAGAGTAAACACTCGGACACTGAGGGATTACTTTACACCTACGGAGAATGTTGCTAGGTTAAGTATTACTAGGCCTACCATTGCTGCGAATACCTTTGAACTCAAGCCAGCATTGATCCAGATGGTGCAGCAGAATCAATTCTCCGGTTTTAACAATGAGGATCCAAATGCGCATATTGATAACTTTTTGGAGATCTGTGATACTGTTAAGATAAATGGTGTGACGTCAGATGCAATCCGGTTGAGACTTTTCCCTTTTTCATTGAGGGGAGAAGCAAAGAATTGGTTGAATACTTGCGATCCTGGTTCCATCACAACTTGGGATGAGCTGTACAAGGAATTCTTGATCAATTTCTTCCCACCACATAAGGCAGCGAAATTGAGAAATCAAATTACTTGGTTTATTCAAGAAGATGATGAGACATTTCATGCTGCATGGACAAGATTCAAGGAATTACAAAGAAGATATCCTCACCATGGTATTGAGAAAAGTACTCTAGTTCAGACTTTGTATCGAGGATTGACAGACTTTGCAAGAAACAATGTGGATGCTACAGCTGGAGGTTCATTAATGGATAAGTCAATTGATGATGCCTATGAATTGTTTCAAACTATGGCAAAGAATAGGAATCAATGGTCGAACTCGAGAAGTGTTTCCAAGAAGCCTGCTGGAATGTATGAAGTCAATGAACTAAATGCCATGAACGCAAAGATAGATGCACTGACCAAGGCGATGGGTAATCTTGTAAATGCTAATGCAGTCTTCCATGCCACTGTTTGTGAGTTCTGTGGAGGTCCTCATTTGAGTTCTGAATGTATGCAACTGGCAAGTGCACAATATGTCTTTAATTTCAGCAAGCCTCAGCAGCAGAACAATTCTTACTCCAACACCTACAATCCTAGGTGGCGAAATCATCCAAACTTTTCTTGGAATAATCAAGGCGCTCAAGATTTTAATGCAAGACCTCCAAACCCTCCTGGTTTCCAAGCAAAGTCATACCAATCTGCACCTAAGTTAGCAACGGAGGCAAGTTTCGAGAGAATCGAGAAATTGTTGAGTGAAAACAATGAACGATCTAACAGAATAGAATCAAGGTTAGATCAATTGACTACTGCTCATAGAACCTTGGAGTTGCAAGTGAGTCAAATGGCCTCCGCCATGAATACTCGTGGGCAAGGTCAACTGCCAAGCAAGTCTGAAATCAACCCTCGTGAAAATTGTAGTGCTATCATGTTGAGAAGTGAGAAGCAGTTGGGTGACAAGGAGGAACCAAAGACTATTGAAGTGAATGTGACCACTAATGAGAAGAAAGAAGAGAGTAAAGAGAGTGATGAAGAAAAAGTGGAGAAAGTGGAACAAGAGGAAGAAAAGATATATGTGCCACCACCGCTTAAACCTTATGTTCTACCAGTGCCTTTTCCGCAGAGACTCCATATGACCAAGCAAGATAGGTTGTTTGAGAAATTTTTGAAAATTTTTAGGCAATTACATATTAACATTCCTTTTGCAGATGCGTTAGCTCAGATTCCAGCGTATGGAAAGTTCTTGAAGGAGATCATCTCCAATCGAAGAAAGGTGAAAGACTTTGAGACAATTGCACTATCTGAGGAGTGTAGCGCTGTCATTCAGAGAAAGTTGCCACCAAAATTGAGTGATCCAGGGAGTTTCTCTATTCCTATCTCTATGGGTGATGTCTGTTTTGATAAAGCTTTATGTGATTTAGGTGCTAGTGTTTCATTGATGCCTTTATCTATTTGTAGAAAGCTTGGGTTGAAACATTTGAAACCAACTAACATCACTTTGCAGTTAGCTGATAGATCCATAACTCATCCGAAAGGAATTTTGGAAAATGTGCTGGTAAAAGTGAAGAAATTTTATATCCCTGTTGATTTTGTTGTGTTAGATATGGAAGAAGATGCTAATGTGCCAATTATTTTAGGTCGACCATTTCTAGCCATAGCTGGTGCTGTTATAGATGTTAAAAAGGGGAGTTTAAAATTTCATATTGGAGAAGAATCTGTGGAGTTCACTTTTTCTAAAAATTACAAATGCCCTGCATTTACTCATCATGTGTTTAAAGTAGATTCTGTTAAGGCCAGATAAAAATGATGTGTTTATTGCTAATTTTAATGACCCTCCTGACAAGTGTATCAGTGATGTAGGTGCAGTTGGAGACGAAAGAAGAATGATGTATCAAAGGGGTTCCCACTTTTTGATTGAGCGTCCACCTGATTGAATCAGCCACATAGTCCGGCTCATGACTTTAAAGGAGCGCTTATTGGGAGGCAACCTAATTCTTTATTTTGCTTTATTTTTCTTTTTCATTCATTAATAAATTAATGGTTAAGTTTTTTGTTCCTGATTATCTGGAGATCTTTGATTTCTGGATTTTCGTGATTTTTCTTAATCATCTGTTTTTTTAGGTTTGTTTTTTCTAATTTACTTTAGTTTTGCAATTAGGTTTGTTGGAAGGGCAAAACTCTGGTGTCCAATGGTGCTGAAAATGAAACATCCAAAATTCTGAAGAAGTTGGTCGTCTATTTGAATGGCAGTTGCAACAATTTATTCAAACAATTCCGGTCCTCCACTTCACATTCCCAAGGTTGTGTCGTTTCTTTTCAATCTTTTTGTTTATGTCTTTTCTTTTGTTTTCACTTGGTTGTCTTGTCTTTTGTGTTTTATACACTGAGGCCAATGTATACTTTAAGTGTGGGGGAGAGGAATGCGTTTTGTGTTTATCCTTCTTAAAAAAAAAAAAAAAACCCATAAAAAATGAAAAAAAAAATTGAAAAATCAAAAAAGGCCTAGGATGAAGATAGTTTGATTATCTATAACATGTAAGAATTAGACTATTTTAAATTGTATTGCTTAACTTATGTATTTCTATGTTGCTTTGAATACCCTGCTTTTTACGCACTTAGTCGTGACTGTGGGATAAACCTAAAGTGAGATATAGTTGCATAAGTTTGATCTAGATATGTCATGAAAAGTTGTGTTTGATTCACTCATACTTATATGATTTATATGTGGAACCCATCATGTTGTGAAGGAAAAGCAAGGCATTAACCCAATATCAGCCTTAAAAAACCCTTATTGCTTTGACACTTTGTGTTAAGTAAGTTTGGGGGAGGGGTGTTGGCGGACGCTTCTGAGGTTAGGTAAATTTTAATGAGGGAGAAAAGGAAGAGCATTCAATGTTGATGCTAGCCCCTTGAGAGGTAAGGAATTGGCAACCTGAGCGGAGAGTCCTCAGGCCCGGTGAGGAAAATAGATATGTAGACTGCCCTAAGTTGCTGAGCCACTATGTATAGGAGTGGAAAAACGCTCTGGGTAGTGGCCTGAGTTGGAAAGAGTCCTGAAGAAAAGCCGCATGGACCGAAGAATGGGTTACAAGGGGGAATAGGTTGTCTGTGAGATAAATCCTTCTACTTCATAGTATGATTGGCGGTCCATTGCATTGAAATATGGTATGAAATGTGAGTTTGTTGTTAAAGTAAAATGGCATATTTGCAGTAGAGCTTTTGTTTTCTATGTTAAATGTAAAGTGATGTCCCTAAGAAACGAAGCACACATACACAAGCGTGGGGGCTAAAAGTAACTATGGTTTGCATTGTTAGGTAGTCCATACTAGAGGTCGTCGAAATCTTTGTGTTATATGATGTGATTGAATCTCTGAGGCCGCCAAATTAAATAATTAAATGTTTTTGTTTGTTTAATGTTTGGGATTGCTTGAGGACTAGCAATAATTCAAGTTTGGGAGTATTTGATATGCTTATATTTTACCTATTTATTATATCCCTAATTTGTGATTTTTGCAATATATTTTGAGTACAAATATGCTATTTATGTGATTTTATCTTTAATTGTAGGAATTGTACTCAATTGGAGGAATTGTTGAAGTTTTGAGCTAAAATCGAATTAAAAGCAACTCAATGGGAAAGAATTGAAGATTGGAGCAATTGATGGGGAAGAAATTAATGAATTTAGAGAGTTGGAGGGCCGATGACGCAATTTTGGAATGTTTAGTTTTTGGAAATTGACCGAACAAACGATGATGGTGCGGCTGATTTGGGATTGGAATTGGATAAGAATTTTAATCCCGATATTATGTGGGAAACAAGTTTTCTTCCTCTCCAAGAAGTAGGGTTTTGAAGAAAGCCTATAAAAGGAGGATTAGAGATTTATTTTTACAACAGAACTGGACCGAAAACTGACCGAAACCTCATGGCTGAAAATTATCCCCCGCCGACCTCCTCGCTTCCGGCCGCTGCAACGAAACTGCCGATCTCCACCTAGCTTCCATAAAAACCGGCAGCCACTCCGCCGCTGCAAATCTTCTTCTCATCCACACAGCCACCATCTCTACCACCTCTCCATCTCTCTCTCTAATCATGATCATCACAGAACTCACCACACAACAGCAGCTCCATCACCTCTTCTTAATCATCATCATCCACGCATCATCACCATCATCAACTCTCCATCACCTTCATCACTAAACCCCAGCCCAAACTCCTCCAAACTTGCGGCAGCCACCTTCCTCCCACTCCCTTCACCACCTTGCTTCTCCTCCCAGCTCCACGCCACCGAAGCCTCCGACACCAGCTCATCATCATCTTCCTGTCCACGCAGCATCACCGAAGCAGCCAGCCGCATTTCTCCTCCCTGCTAATCACCTCCACGCACCAGCAGAAGCCGAGGAAAAGAAGAGAAAGCAAGCAGCAGCAACATCCAATTTAGTGCGATAATTTCGGAGTTGTTTTCTCGGCTGGAGTTTGTTGATATTGAGCTCGGGTTCCCTATTTCAATTTTAATTTTAATTTCAGAATTTTGGATCATGAATATTATTATTATTATTATTATTTTTTTAGCCAGAAAAGAAGGTTCAGAAGGGGATTTAGGTTTTAACTGGCTCAAAAACACTCAAGGGGCCTACCCGAGAGATGGATTTTTAAGTCAGTTATAGCCAGATGATATAAATGCACCTAAGGGATGTACCCAAGGGATGAACAAATATATCATCCAGTTCCTTAGTTTCCACCTTACCCTGTATATTATTAAGATTCATAGGTCAAAGCTGGCAGTGCATAGAACTTACCAGGATACAAAAAATATTATCTCACTATTACATCTGAAATATTATCGCACTCTCACATACGGCATAGATTGTTGATCTAGAGTGATGAGACCCCTAGTGAAATTCGGAAGATCTCCTAAGGAAAAAAATTCTGCTGAAACTTCATCTGAAGCACATCTAGCTAAACTGTCTGCTACTGCATTCGCTTCTCTGTAAATGTGGTGTATAGAGTAATCCCTTCTCACAAGAATTGCTCGGATCTCTCGCAACTCGAAATAGAATCTCCGCGGACAAGGACCTCCAGAGGCAAGAATATTCGCCAAAAATTGGTTATCCGTTTGAACTTCCACCTGGAACAGATCAAGATGCTCACATTTCCGAACTCCAAATAAAAGGCCATAAACCTCCGCTTGAAGACTATCTCCACTTCCCAAAAATCCAGCTTCCTCATAAAGAAAAAACCCCTTCTCACCTCGGATTACAAAGCCATACCCAGCAGCTTGGGAGTTGGAAGATCCATCAGTGTTCAGCACATGCTTGCGCTGTCGTTGCCAAGAAACCTTGCGCACCTTTTTCTGTTTTAGGCTGAAAGGTGTGTTCGGAAAGATTAGCTGAAGCGACTCCCTCTCAACAACATTTCGAGCCTTAAGTCTATGGACTAGCATCATTCCATGAAGATGCTCTTTGACAGCTTTGATGACACCTGAAAAATTGGAGTCAACATTTTCAAAAAAGAACTTGTTCCTCGCCTTCCATAGCTCCCACACTATAAAGGATGGCAGAACCTTCTTTATGACCCCAATAGCTGTTTTAAAGTTCCCTGAAATCCACCATGAATTCAAATATTCTCCAAGGCTTGAACCATGCGCAACCTGACCAAAAAGTTCAGCAAAAAAATTCCAGACCTGTCGCGCAAAAGCACACTCAAGGAATTGTTGCCTCATTGAATCCGAGGAAGACTTACACTTCCAGCAAATTGAAGGTTGCAAGTATATGCCCATTCTACATAGATTCTCCGTAAAAGGGAGAAGTGAATTACCAAACTTCCACATGAAGAAGGAGATGCGCAAAGGAATGAATTTATGCCATACATTCCGCAGGCTAGGGTTTTCAACTTGCCTCCTCCGCAATGCTTCATATTCGGACTTGATTGTGAATACTCCCAATGGGGTTGGCTTCCAGATGAGCTTGTCTTCCCCCTCATTGAAGGATAAAACCATTTCCTCCAAGACATGAAAAGCTCTATCCTCAACCATCCCCGAATCTCTTGTAAGTAAAGATTTTTCATTGAGAAAAACTCCCGGATTGTAAGATTTGGCATTGGAGGTTCCGTATCCTGGATGTCCCATATACGGCCCAAACTTGACCATTGATCAAACCAGAAGCTACTATTTCCCTTATACACCAACACCTTTGAAAAAGACGATGCAAGATGATCAATTTTGGTAAACCGGCTCCAAGAAGTTCTTTTCCTTGCAAAATGCGACAAAGAGAGCACGAAATTCGCCCAAATGCCTTGCTTATGTTTAACCTTCCACCATATTTTAAGGGAAAAGGCTTGCAAAACCTCTTGAAAATCACGCAATCCCACACCATTTTCCAGCACTGGGTAGGTAAGCTGGTTCCAGGATCTCCAGTGTTTTTTTCCATCACCTTCCACTCCTTCCCATAGGAACCGTTGGCATCGGTGAGCAATGGCATTCAAGATTGATTTCAGAGTCTCAATGGCCGCAAAAACATGTATTGGGATGGCGGACCGCACATGTTTAATTAGCACAAGCCTCCCACCTTGACTAGGAATTTATTCTTCCAATTCGATAACTTCACTTCCAATGCATCTAATATAAATTGAAAGATTGCAGCCTTTTTTCTCCCTACAAATATCCTACATCCAAGATAGACAAAAGGAAAGGATCCTTTTTGTATGCCTAGACACCGAGTAATTGTTGCAATCCGGGAGTAACTACATCCTTCATCCACATAAACATTACTTTTCTCTCTATTCACCTTTTAGCCAGACGCCATTTCATAATCCTCAAAGAAGTTGTTCAATACCTTCAGAGACGCTTGCAAACCACGGGTGAACACAATGAGATCATCAGCAAAACAAAGGTGGGAGACATAGGTGGAGCCAGTTGGGGTACCAAAACAAACAATTCTTCTTTGTTCCATCAACCATTTCAACCTTCGTGACATCACTTCAGAGACAAGGATAAACAAAAAGGGGGAAAGAGGATCACCCTGCTTGATCCCTCTACTTGCCTTAAAGAAACCTGTTGGATTGCCATTCACCAAAACCGAAAACCAACTATTTTTTAGGTTATTTAAAACCAGAGAAACAAAATGAGAAGGAAAGCCAAACCTCAACAACACTGCTGCTAGAAAACTCCAAGAAACGAAATCAAAAGCTTTCATCATATCCACCTTTAGGACCACGTTATTACCCACGGCTTTGTGTTTAAGGAACTGGCACAAATCTTGAGTAAGCATGATATTATCATGAATATTATTATTATTGCATGATCAATTTTAATAATGTATAGAGGCTAAAATTCTATAATCTAGGGCTTGGGTGTAGCCACCGAATTTATTTGGTTTATTTAGTTCATTATTATTTGATTTTTCCATTAATTAATATTTGTTATTCTTGTTTTAATTCGTGTAAGTAATTGGCCACTATTTGCATGTCTGAAGATATTAATCGAAGTAGTGAGAGTGGAAGGTTAGTATTAGTTCGTAGGAATAATAAACTTAGGTTGTAAGCTACGAGAGTAAGATTATAACCTTTGCAATATTTGATTCTTAATGGGCTTAATGTGGTTTTGTTAATCCCTATAGTCACGAGAGTAGTCATAGAGTTAATCTAAGTAAGAGAATTATAACACGAGAGTGAATAGTTCTTAATTAGGTGAATCATTATGAGATTAATGGAAGTTAAAAGTCAGATATTTGTGAATTTAACTAAACCAAATATTCGGTAGGTGAACCCAATGTCCTAGGTTTTCTTTGTCTGATTATTTGAATTAATATTATTTGCTTTTATTTTATTTATTTATTTTAGTTTTAAATTTTATAAATCTGAGATCCTCATTTATCTAGATAATAATAGGAGTAATTTATAGCTGGTAATTAGTATTCCTTCTCTGTGCGATCGACCCTGCTTTCTGCTTTACTAGTAATTGTATTAAGTAGGTAATTAATATTTGACTAGTGTGATGACGGCTTGTCAGTAGCTGGCCTTTTGAATCAAAGACATATACATTCTGATTAGCTTTCACAATTTACAAATATGAAACCAACACAATTCATTAGCGGTTAAATAATTATCACCTCTTCAAGATCTCTAATTTCATTCAAAGTTAATATCTCTGAATCTTTGACAAAGTCTTCAAAGGTTGTGTATCCAGATATGGAGGACATGATCGATATTTTGTGGATGCTTGACTCTTTAATATCGTTCTGTTCCAGCCTGTACATGTAAAGATATAATTCACATAATTTGAAATGAATCTACATTTCACATAAATTAGTCTTTTTTATCAGTGCATATCACCTATGTTTGTATTCATAAATGGCAGGTATGTTCATGTCATCAAGGTATATTCTGCCATTAAACAGATTAGTAGTCACATAGGCCTTTCCTGTTTTGAAAATATAAAATTTGCATATCATCATCTTATAATGAAAGCTTTAATTTTCTGAAAACTGACACTTGAAATATAAACATAATTAAAACCAACACAATTTAAGTATATTAAATATTAATCTGACCATAAAATTTCTTGCTCTGCACATACTGCACAATCAGCACAACTGGAAATTCTAGTTCTTTAGACAAGTAATTGGTTATGAGGTCAGCATGTTCACCCCATATTGTAACCTTCATGCTGTCAGCCCTAAATGAAAATCAACAACAATTAAATATGTTTTTGGTTATGTATGTTGTATATTGATTTTGTGGTCTGCTTACTTTTCATCTTCTAGTTGCACAGATATTCTCTTTTTCTGTGCATCCACAATAGGGTCACTGTAACCAATAATGTGTCCAATCACATCTGGAAAATATAAATTCTTCATTAGTTATGTTTGTTACATATCTGGATAATTTTGCTTTCATTAGATGAAAACTGAAAATACATTAAAGATCCAACATCCTTACCAAAACAGTAATCAAAGTTTGCCACAAAATTATTGATCTCTGCAAATGGAGTGAACTCAAAAATATGGTTAGGAATATCAAAGTCAACAAACGTTTGAACCAATGTGTTTGGTTCAAACACAATTTTATACTCGTGTTTTGCACATCGGTATGCTCCATTTATATTCAGAGCATGATCGAAACACGATATTTTCCTACAACAACCTTCTTCAAACCAGTCCTTGAAATCCCGCATGAATCTAGCCGGTATAGTCGCCTGAATTTTGCTACCCTATTTTCCAATAAAATTTGTGTAAATTATTAGTGAAACCAACGCATGTAATTTATATAATTTTTCTAATGATGAAACCATTTAAATACAGATTCTTTAAACTATGCATACCTCAGCATCAATCAAAGTCAATTCTAGAGACTTCACTTCACCCTTCTTAGAAGTGTCCATCATTTTCCACATTGACATGACACGCACAACAATGAAGAAATGCTTGCTTTTGGTTGAAATCAGGCCATTGATGTCTGCAATATAACGTTGCGCAGCTTGCTGTTGAGGTTGAGAAGTGACTGGGATTACTGCTGGTAGTCCCTGTTGTGGAGGATCAGAAGCGACCGGGATGGCTGTTGGTGATCCGGCCATTGCGAAGAGGAAATTAGGTTTGACTGACTTTTGTAGTGATAAAAAGAGAGAATTTCTTGTGGAGATGGTACACAACATGTGCTTCCTGTACAGGTATTTATAAAGGTAATGTATGCTTTGGTTATACATGATCACTACAAAATTGAAAAGAAACTAAATCTGGAAGATTATGATCACGATTGAATTTAATGATGTGCACTGAGTATACGGTTTGTAATTGTCGGGTTGTGATTCAATTTGTGGTAATTGATTGAGTCTGAACGTGTGAACGTGTGAAAATATTCTGTTATCAATACCGTAAGTCGGCTGCGGCAAAAGAGTTGGGATTGTGGATGGATTCATGGCCTAAAAGATAGGGGTAAAAGTAGGGATGTGTGTTTTATCCTCTGTATTTTTCCTTTTCATTTTGGGAATTGTGGAGGGATTCATGGCCTAAAAGATAGAAGTAAAAGTAGGGATGTGTCTTTTATCCTCTGTATTTTTCCTTTTCATTTTCAAATTTTTTTTTTCCAAATTAAGTTTAACCGCGGTTTGTGTACACTGATGAGGTTGAGAAGTGACCGGGATTACTGCTGGTAATCCCTGTTGTGGAGGATCCGAAGCGACCGGGATGGCTGTTGGTGATCCGGTCATTGCGAAGAGGAAATTAGGTTTGACTGAGTTTTGTAGTGATAAAAAGGGAGAATTTCTGAAGGAGATGGTACACAACATGTGCTTCCTGTACAGGTATTTATAAAGGTAATGTATGCTTTGCTTATACTTGATCACTGTAAAACTGATCAATGTTTTACCGTTGTAATCTGTAGCCTTGTACCGTTGCAAAGTCCAAACCTCTGATTGTGGTAATTGTGATAATTGATTGAGGGCTGCGGCAAAGGAGTTGGGATTGTGGATGGATTCATGGCCTAATAGATAGGAGTAAAAGTAGAGATGTGTTTTTTATCCTATGTATTTTTCCTTTTCATTTTTCAAATTTTTTCGGGGTGTACACTGATGGGTAGAATATTTCTAGTACATGAGGTGTGCCACGTGGTGATAATTCTTGTATATGACTTCTTTGGAACTGGAGGGAAATTTTTTTATGTGAAGCTGCCATGTGTCTTTTTATGACTCTGTTTTAAGTAAGTAAAGGAGATATAGATACTTTTTTTTTTCTTTTTTTTCTATTTGTTGAGATTTTCGTAGTCCGTAAGCCTACGGATGTAAGGGTCAAAGAAGGAAGGAAGTAAATCGTAGAATTTCCTTCTTTTCCTATTGGATAATTCTTTTAAGTAATTTCTTCGTTCCTGAAGCACTATTCTTTGAGGACAATGACACTATTTTCTTTTTCTTTTTTCTTTTCCTCAAATCGGACCTAGTTTCTTGGTTTAGTGAATTAATTAGGTCTTACAGTATTTAGTAATTTATTAGTATTTCATACATTGTGGTTTCCCAATTATGACGCAATTTTTTATTTGATTACTATTTATTAAAATAACATAAACTACTGGAAGTTTTCCAAATGTTATGTGAATGTGATGGGATTGGTATTCAAAGAAATCTAGGAGAAAATTTATGGGATACGAAATTAAATATTCCCTCTCCCGTCTAAGAAGAAGAATTCTTGCATATATATCAGATACGATCGATCGACGTTTAAGACTATGGTAGGCCTGAGCTTTCTGCAAGCTATAGCTTATCAGTGACAAAGGTAGACAATCAAAATCAGAAACAATTTCTTTGCGAAAAATAAAAGTAACACAGCGATATTATTTTATTTGTAACACGTCGATTACAAAGGGATGAGTAAAAATCAATGTGGAAAGAAATCAATGTGGTCCGGCTGGAGATTCCGGTCTGGGTCGTCTGACAATGCCATTAGTTAGAAAAATTATAAACTAGAACTGGGAAAGAAAAAGTTTGTACTGCAGGAAAAGGTGATTAACAAAAAAATAAAATAAAATTGTGATTATGATAATAATACTTACGCCCCTCGGAGGATACTCGGACCGCCATCGGCAACTTTAGACGCTTGGAACGAACGGAGACTGATGAAAATACTGATGCACAACAAGAGGTAAACAACTCTATCATCGGCAGTTGCTGTGTCCATTTTCTTCGTTCCTGAGTCTTGGAAATGATTCTATGTTTCTTCAAGTAATTTCGCACGAACTGCTTGATATTTTGAGTGCGGTTTCGCAATGGGGGTGTTTTTATTCGTTTTATAGACACTTTTACATGCTACTCTTATGGGTTAGAATTGTCTTAACGAACCGGATTACAGTGTTGGGAATGCCATTGGTTTAAGAGCTGAATTAATTTGACTTGTCTTCTCCTGTCTTTTACACCTTTTTCTCTTTTCGTCCTTTTTCCCGGCCGGTCCCAAGTTTAAAAAGACATGCCGAGTACAAAACAATTTGCTTCTTCTTATCGAATTAACTATCAGTCGCTTTCTTGTTTTCATTCGCGGAGTTCAAAAGACTATATGGATGAGTTCTACCACTTAATGACTGTCTCCTTGATTTGTATTAGAAACTTTTGGGAGCGGTTTCGATATTATATATATATATATATATATATAGCGAGCGGCCACAGGAAAAATCGACTAACTAGTCGTAAAGTATGCATTCCAAGTATATATATATTCTGATCTTCACTTATTTCGTTTACTTTATTTAGTCCCAACCTATCATTCATTAGGAGTTGCGTCAAAAATTTAAGGTTTCTTAACATTTTCCGTTTGACTAGTTATATTTAAAATAAAAAGTTGCAGCTCTGCCGAATTTTCAATTCCACCCCAATCAACATCTGCCGTCTCTACTTCCTCCTTACCCCCTCATCAAAATTTGCCACGAATTCCTCCACTGAGATTCCTTTCTTTCCCATTGTGCTATCTCTGTCAAACCAATTGAGCTTTATTTCGAGATTAGCACAAGTAATCAAAATAAGAACCCCGGCCCTAAAGTTAATCCCAAATCCAAGCGTTGAAAATTTGCTTTTATGTTAAAAAGATTTTAAAGTCTCATTATACAAGAAATCCACCTTTATTCCAATGGGGTTGATCGCTTAGAAAACATGGAGCGCTTTATTTACAATATTTTATAAGACCTGAAAGAAACACCATTAAAAAGGCCTAATTTCAAGAACAAGTTCATCCTTTAAATTCCGTGGTCATTTTCAAGCTAAAAGTGATCACTTCATTACCATCATCATCTCCTTTATAATTCTAAGTAGAAGGTGGTGGAGGGGAGGAAACGGTGAAGACTGTGCGGGAGGTGGTGGTGGTGTCGTGCCGGGGTGAAAAAGAAAAAATGAAATTGCAATTTTCTTATTGAAAGGATAAACTGTTGACGGAAAATTTTGACAGATCTCTTCAAAATAGACTAGATTGACATTGACTAAATAAACAAAATAGACTAGTTGAGGTCTTGAGGATGAAATTATACCCGAAGTAGATACCTTGACTAAATTGTTAGATTCTTATATACATCTGCATATACATACATACATATATACATATATATATATATATATATATATATATATATATATTTGTGTGTGTATGTAGGTCTTACACAATTGCTCAGATGCTTAAAAATTAGAATAGTTTAATGTGTGTCCGAACGTTAATTAGTATTGAATTAATTACAGAAATACGAGTGAAATTGTTACAAGTGCCCCCAGAATCATAATGGTCTCTTGACTCGAGAATGAGATTGAAAGGTTTTTAATCTTAAAAAAAAAAAAAAAATTTAAAAGGTTTTATGTACCACTTTAAGTACAGTCTTCATCCTTGTGTATTTTTGGCTTGCAGAAATTTTAAATTAATGGAAATGAAAACGAGAGAAAAGTAAATTGATGCGAATGAAAACGGGAGAAAAGTTTATAGTTATCACTTAGTAACATTTCCCAAAAGTGAAAATTTCTAACTTAGTACAGTCCTTATTTTCAGTTTTATTTTAACAAAACTCTTTTTTTTTTTTTGGTTTTATTGCAGGATATCCACTGTCGGCAATAATGACTAATCCTTCTCGTACATGGTAGGCACCTCAATGGGTGGGAGCTAGCTAAAATATTTAAAGTTGCTCCTTGCCCATGACGAGATTCGAACCCTATGATTAAGGGTGGAGGAGATTTTAACAAAACTTTCTAGTTTTACATGAAACTAAAATTTAAAAGTGTAGTAAGAATTCACTAAGAGCTAGCTTGTCTGTCAAAAATTACAAACAAAGACAATCATATCATCAATTTGACGAGTTATACATCTCCTTGAAATCATAAATAAAAAATTATGTACTTGTGTCAACTTTTCTTAGTTGTTTATTGTCATTTTTCTAAAAATAAAAATTGGATTAGGAATTGAATAACAATTTAGCGGTTAGGATATTGTGTTCCTGATAGAAGACACAGATTCATTCCCAAACAAGGGTTGTAACAGGGGAATTTTTGCAAACTTTCTAGTGGAATTCATTGTGGTGGATTTTTTAAGAAAAAGAAAAAATAGATTTTGCAAGTGAGAAAATACGATAACACACACACTTAACTTTTAGTTAATAAAATTCTTAATTATCTATCATTAATATCATTTATTGAAAAAAAAAATTATTATTATACCAAAATATAATTCTCAGCATGACTCAGTATCATGCCTTTTCAACCCGACTCTATGTTTATATTGTTTTTAGAGAAGTCGGGCTTTCTTCATCATCTTCAGAGCAAAAATACGGCTCTAATTTTTTATTATTATTTTTTTGGGATGAAATTTGATTTCATTCTCTTGGATTGTAAGATAGGTAGAATTTCAGTTTTCTCCAAAAGATCTATACAAAAAAAAAAAAAAAAAAGATACTAACTAGTTGCAACTATATGCCAACACAAAAGGATCACTACACAAATTACCAAAATTTGCCTATTCAAGGGGAGTTTTCATCAATTTGCACCACTCCCTGTTCTTGCATGTATTCTTCATTTTAATTATTTAGGCAAGATTTATTTTCGAAGAGAAAGAAATGTGCATTGGATTACCATTACTTCGTACACGCTCTTTTGGTGAAAGCCAACATGTTGTCTCACCTACCAAATGTTATATATTGCAGCTACTATCAACTCCTCCAGTGATTCCATCTTTGATGGAGTTTGAACCATATTTTGTCAACTTTTCTTCCCTAAAGAATGTCCAGCCTAGTGACTGGAACTCTGCACCCACCAAAGCCATGGCTTTGGTAATGAACACACTTTCCTCCTCCATCATGCATAAAGGACACATACTATCGACTGTTGTATCATTATATTTGACAATTTTAGCTCTCGTATTCAACTTGTCTAAGCAAGCCAGCCAAGTAATAAAATTATGCTTTGAGACGATAAACTTACCCAAAAATAGGATGTATTTTGACCTCCGAGTGTGCTTGTGAGTTAGAGCCTGGTCAGCCCCGTCACTGAAAAAGGTTCTTCAGCACCGACCCATTCAATTCCCTCCAGTGATACATTAACGCATTGTAGTGCAGATTGTTTTCTTTTTTTGAGAAAGTACATGTTTATTACGTTAAGGTACCTAGGCTATTACATTGTATCCTAGAGTACGCGATATGATGCATATCCATAACATCACTTCTACGAACTTTAACTATTACACAAGAATGAAATTTAGACACTAAATTTCGAAGGTTCGAAACTACTTCCTGTATTTCTACTTGAAAAAGGGAAATACGTTGAGTGGACGTGGGTTCTTGGCAATCAGTTTGGACGATTACATCTCCGATTCCAAATTCCCATGCTTGTTGGAGAGCCAAAATAAAGGTAGTTGCCTCTGTTTGACATGCTGACAGGGATGGGAATGCTACTGCTTTGATTTGCATCAATTGGCCACTTGGTGAAATAATTTTCCATGCTCCAACTGAACTACGGGTGATAGGATGAAACGAGTCATCAAAGACAATAAGTGTCTCTGTTACATTGGCCCTTGGTGTGAGGTCGCTGGAGGAAGTACATGGCCGTAGATGTTGTTGATGGAGGATTGAGGCCTTGTGTTGTGTGTATTCTGCTTGGATTGTTCTCTAAGAGTTGACTGGATCCATGGTTTGAGAACGGCAAACCTTATCATTACGTTCTATCCATATCCTCTAGAAGATTGTGAGGAAAAGGTCCATATCTTCTTGTGATGGAGAGGTCCTAACCCAATCAACAAACCAGTGTAGAAGAGTGGGAGAATTATCATTCAAAATTGTTTGAAAAGAAGGGTAGGCAAAACTCCAAATTGCATAGTTGAAAAACAGGTGGATATCATCCTCCACTTGAGTGAAACACCTGGGGCATAGCTGATCTTCCTGGATTCCTCTTCTGTGTAAACCAACTTTGGTTGGCAAGGCATTCGAGGCAGCTCTCCAGAAGAGGTATTTCTTCTTTGGTGGAACCCTAGAATTCCACATCCTTTTCCAGGCTTGTGTTTCTAGTAGTTGTGGTTGAGCTTGGATTCCAGATGGACCCGTATCATGGTTTAGAGCCTTATGGTATCCATAGTGGACAGTATAGTTTCCATAAGTGGCATTCAACCATATGAGTTTGTCATTCTGAGAACTCCTTGAGTGATCAATGTATATCCCTGTGATATGAAGGATGAGGTGATTCGGGAAGATGGTTCTGAGAAAGGACCTTCCATTGACCATTAGAGTTGATATTATCACTCAACAAAATATTGGAATGTGTAGCCCAGAAGGAGGAGTGGTGAATTGGATTGGCATAATTAGGGATCCAATCATCAGCAATATAAATATTTCTTCCTGAGATAACCTTCCACTTAATGCTACCTTGTAATAATCTAGCTCCCCAGAGAATGCTTCTATAGCCCCAAGTAGCATTGTTTGGTGGTTTTTGTTGAGGGAAAGAATCAGTGATGCAATATTTAGCTCTGTAAAGCTTGGATAACAAAGATTCTGGTTAGTGCAAATTGTTTCATTCAACAACTTTTTCATGCGGCTCTGAAATTGTGCACATCTTGTGTTACATTTATCTTCCTTATATCCTTCTTGTCTAATCTTTTTAAAATTAGTGCCTTATATTATAATTATTGTGTAATACTAGTTTTAAAACTACAGTTATTCTTACCATTAAAGGCAATATCAGTTCACTAAGAAATCAGATTGTAATATTAGTTTCGAGGTTTACACAAAATTTGACAAGCTTACCTCGATATGGATTGAACTTATAAAATTTGTTTTTAATTGAAAATGATTGAACTTATAAAAAACTGTTAACGTTCTTTTTAAATCAAGAACCAAAATGGATTCAGACACCAAATTAAGAGGATGTTTGGGTGATTAAGTACAATGAATTAATTTCACAATTTTGCTTTAACAATTTTGGGAACGCTCAAAGAAAATGAAGGACACAGGTTGATTTACCCCAAAAAAAAAAGTACCTCAAAAAGTGACTTATAAATGAATCACTAACGACGACGCACACTGAGAGCACAAAACATCTCCTGAGATAGAAAAAAGAGAAGTATTCATGACTAGTTTTTGGTAAGGCTGAACAAAAATCAATTCTGACCGAAGCGAAGTAGTACTTCTGGCGAGCACCATTATAAGGACTCATAAAAGTCCAATTTAAAATCCAGTCACAGTTGGAAATGTCATCTTAGCGGGAAACCATCCTTTCCACCGGAATTGTGTCTGCAAGTTGAATCATCAAAGTAGGTGATGGAACAATAGCTCCAATTTTGAGTGATAGAACAATAACTCCAAATCATAATGATTCTAAACATAAGCATACGTAAGCTAACGGTTTTAGTTAACATCGTATCATAAGCAGCCTGGACGAACAACAACATTGTTACGTGCCCAAGAAATTGAAAAAAAAAAAATTTACATAAGGTGGCGAAGAAAGTTTTGGTGTGTATTTGAGCATCTCTCATCTTGCTATTTTCAGATTTTATATACAACATAACTAAATAACTCATACATAGAAAGAGAAGAAACGTGACTCCCGATCAAAACCTCAATCTAAACCAAATTCAAATTATGAAAGGGAAAGAATGCAAAGAATCGCAATATCAAATTCAAATTTAATGACCAAAAAAAAAATCCCTTATCTTATGTAATGGCTAAAAGGATTGCAGCATGTCTGCTCTGTTTGTGTAAACAAAAAAAAAGGAGTAAATAAATTCAAATTTAAAGGCCTTCGACAACATCCCGGGGGTGAATGTGTAATTGCTAGAAAAATAATGGTTTGAGGTCCGCAAACAAGCTATTGAATATATATTGGCTTTTGACATATCTCTAACCAATTGTTGCCATTTTACTTTATTTTCTATCCCTCCCTATCTCTCGTTTTGTTTCATCAGGCAACAGAGATGGAAGTGACCCATGCTATCGTGAAGATCGTGTAGCTCGGTCTTTTGATCGATTCGTATGTAGTTTGGAATTCAGTATTTGTTGGTCTGTCATAATTTGATGATTATTATTATTATTGTGTTATGAGAATTTCCAAGTTGTAAGATTTTTCTTTTTGTTTTCACAGGGTTCGTCGGCTCTATCGGGATCGGGAGGCTTTAGGGTTGTCAGCCCCCGACTTGGAAGATGCAGCTGTGGGGCGAACCGTGGAGGTGGAGAGAATTAGGGTTGATTGGAAGAAAATTAGAGTTTTGGGGTTATCATTTGATTTCTTCCGGTTACAGCATGGCGTAGATCTGTAGTTTTATGGAAGAATCTAAGGACTATATTTGTTTAGTAATTTAAGTATAGTTATGGTTCATGCAGATCTGTAGTTATATTGAAGAATCGGGGCTTTTCTGTGTTTAATTATATTATATTATGGTGCGCGACTGCACGTTCTGTAGTTTTTGTTTGGAGGATCTGGAGCTTTCCTTGTTGTTGGATATTCATATGTATGTATTCGGAAATGACAGGTGCATGAAATTAAGAGGAATGAGAAATATTGAGTTCTCTTCTTATTACAAAGTCTCATTGATTGTACATTAAGTTATCGCTCAGGTGTCTTTCTCAGATTCATATAGAGTGCAAGTTCAAGGTACGCAGTCCTTGAAGTGACATCATCCGTTCATATTTGGTTCTTTTATGTGTTTTGATGATGAAGAATTGAACCACTCGACAAATTTAAATGAACTAAGGGTAAATTCGGTAACCGTAAGCGTAATATATTTAAAAAAATAATAACATCATTTATCCCGAATGTGCTACCATACAATTTTCAAAAATTTCCCACACTAAGTGGAATCAAATACGATTTCTATATTGTGTCTGCTACAAAATGTCCTCGAATGTCAATCAAACTTTTGCAGCTAACTTTGCTATGCTACTACTAACTCCTCCATTCCGTACCTAACCATTTTTCCGGTGTCCTCCATTCCTCCTGTTGTTTGTGGGATGTTCTTTTCCTCCGTAGGCTCTTCCATCGCTGCTTTTGTTATTCCTTTCACTGATTTCCTTGTTTCGACGATCATAACCACGTCCATACATTATTGCCACAAGAGCTCACGTTAAAACGAGTCTCTCCTTTCTATTGGCCCTTGAAGTTTCTAGAGCAACACTCTCCACTTGTTCCTCTAGTGCCAGATCTTTTTAACAAAATTCGGGAGTCAAAACCTTTCAGAGTGAACTTGCGAGCCTCTGTTGCGCTTTTCGCAGAAACTTCAGATTCAAACTGCACGAATCCGTAACAGAATCCATCCATACAAAAAGTTTTGATCTGAATGTCAGATGGCCTCGCTACCCCAAAGACCTTCATTGCTTCCACCCGTCCGTCTTTTGTTATCTCCTTAGGCAGGTTTTCTATATAATAGATCTAGCTCTGGAGTCTTCCGACGCCACTTTGTTTCTGCTAATTCTACAACCTTGCGCATTAGAAGTTTGTTCTTTTGTGCTTTTAGCAGTATTTGATTTGGGAGATACTGTTGATTGTTGGTTTGGCGCCACCCTAACTATATTTTATGAGGATGATTATGCGCAGAAGATGTAGGTTTTTTCTCTTTTATCAACATGGATGCACAGAACATCTTCTGGCCCTCAACTTTCTCAGTATCATTAGAGGTGTTTGGCTCTTTTGGAATATCGGCACTTTGGACTTCTAGGGTTTCTGCAACACTATCAGCGATTTCTAGGGTTTTCTCGACATTGTCCGTAGTTTCAACGGATATTGCGGCTTCCTTAACTAATTCATGAGGGAACAAAATACCGTCATCATAACCAAAAAAGACATTCAAAATCTCTTGTGCATCTATTTTGCACAAGTTATCATTCAACACAAAACATCCGTTCTCTTGCTTGGCAAGAAAAAACGTTTGGGTGATAATCCTTTTGACGTTGTCTTTCCTGAGTAAACGACCAATAGCTGTCAGGATGACTCCCTCCATTAGAGAAAATTGAGCATCAACCTTCACAAACTTAACCTCGCAGCCCTTGTAATCCGAAGACATAGTCATTGTTCTTGATGCCTTAACGCCATCCTATCTTATCACACTTTCTTCTTTGTAGAACCCGTGCACCATCTCATGTGTTTTGTGTAAATGTTTGTAATATTGTTTCAGAAATCCATCTGCCACGGTTTCTGCCACTACTATAATCCCTAATACGATTTCTTTTTATTCATGGTTTGCCATCTCTTGAGGAAGATAGAGATCTAGACCAAAATAATTGGATTGAATATTAATATATTAAAAAAGAAAACAAATCTTGATAGACATCAAAAACAAATGTTCGAAAATAACCAGATAGAGAAGAACTACTAGGAGGCCAGACTTATATAGAAAATTGGAGGGAGTCAAAGAATTAAGGAAACAACCCACATGAAAATTCGGGGGCATACCACTTTGTTGGGTCTATTGAAAATGTGGTGGCGCCATGGATCTTTCGCATCAGCAAAAAAGTCTTTGTATCACTTATTCCCCATCTTTATTCTTTGAAAAGTTTGGAAGGCAAGAAATAAGGCAATCTTCGAAGAAGTTCAGCCCTCTGTAAGCTCGGTCATTCACCTTATCCATCATCAGGTTAAAGACCTAATCTTTATTCATGGCTTAAAAGTGGTAGATGAAGCTGAAAATTCTTTTATTTTAAGCCTTTTTGGATATCACTTGACTCGAGCTACTAAAAGGCATCCTAAAATAGTGAGATGGATTCCCCCAGATTCGAACTGTTTTGTTTTGAATTCGGATGGCTCATCTAATGCTAATGGAGCTGGTTATGGTTTTGTCATCCGAGGAGAGGGTGGTAAGTTCATTTATGGAGAAAGTGGATATTTGGGTGAGGGAGATTTTTTCCAAGCAGAAATCTTTGGTATTCTATTTGGACTTCGCAGGTGCGAGCTCCTACAACTTTCAAATGTTAGGGTACAAACCGATAATCATTCTCTGTCTTGTATTTTGAATGAGAAGAGAGGATTTCCATGGTATTTTTACTTGGAGTTGACAGAGATGTGCTCTATCAATTCAAGGAATAATTTCGTGGTCTCTCATATCTACAGGGAAGGCAATGCAGTTGCAGATTTTTTAGCTAAACAAGCATCAAGTGGAGTATCTATTGCTTACAATTGTTTTGTATCATTGCCTCGTTTTGTAAAGGGACTTTTGATATTAGATCAATTGTCCTTTCCATATGTACAAAAGTAGTTCTATGGCTTTGTACAAGGGTAAGACATAAACACTGCCCTCCTTTTTCCACATTTTAATAAATTCGGGGATGGGTGAAGCTAGGGAACTATATAGTACGAATGTCCATCCCTTGGGTAGAGCCCTTGGGTGCATTGTACTATATAGCACTGCCTACCTCAAAAATTTACCTCCTGGTAGACCCCTTGAGTTTTTTTGAGATAGGTGGAACCCGAAAGTCACCCTTGCCTTCCTGTTGAGTTAAAAAAAAAAAGGAAACAACCCACATGATTTCCTTGGCAAATAATAACAAGCACCTAGGTATACTTTGCAAAGTCTATCTCATGGGCATGTGTAATACACTCTCCTTCTACACAAGTGGAGCTTTTAGTTCGGATTTTATAACATCACACGCGCATTAAATTCTCCAAATTTTATCCCCTTTTTTTAGCATACGTTTATTTCAAACTGTTATTTTTTAATGCTTATCCTTTAATCTTTTATATTATTTATTTTATGAGAAAATGTTTTTGAAACGATGGATTTTATTTTTGGTAAAATTAAATATGCTTCCTTATTGAGACTTATGAATCTGAGGAATCATTTGGAGCAAAAAATTTCAATTGATTAGCAATAGAATCTGAAAAAATAAGCGTCAAATTTGGAAGATTTTAATGGATAACGATATTTATTTGGATGAATAATGGTATGCTTATCGATGAATAATGATAATATTGTGGATGAGTAATGTGTTTTTATTGTGACAAAGATATGGATGAATAAATTTAAATTTTGAAATAAATAACGATGTTTACAAAGATGAATAACGAAGCAATTCTTGATGATTAATGGTCTTATCCCAGATGAAAAACAATACTAAAATGAAGAATAAATTTATTTTTGTTAGATGACTAATTGTAACTTAATAGAGGAATAAAAATGTTGTTAGTAGATGAATTATGTAGTATAATAGACTAAAATTGAACAAAAAAAACTATTCGTTGTTTTTAATATATAAGGTAAAAAAACTATTCGTTGTTTTTAATATATAAGGTCTTGAAGGATTCGTCGATACTCGATACGTTTATGTTGATTGTTTGATTTCAGCAACTCTGCCAAATAATTGATTCCCGACCGATCAGGTTCATGTTGATGAGCATTTCTTTTTCATTGATCAAACAAAAATAGTTACAATAAGTGAGATTTCACATTCAATCAAAACTCTCTTAATCATCAATAACAATTCTATTGAACATACACAATCATTCTGAAAATGGTGAATAAACATTGAAATTGCATAAATCGAATCCAATTAATAACCATCGTGTACGGGTACATATTACATGAATGAATGACATATCTTTGCATGATGAATACACATATATATGGAATGAATAACACATGTTCGAAGGATGAATCACATATCTTGACAGGATGAATAACACTACTTTACAGGATTAATGACACATATATACAATTGTGTAAAATCACATTTTACATGATGAATAACAATACCATTAAAATGAATCACATATATTTGCAGGATGAATGTATTTACAATATGACTAGCATGGATTCAAAGGATGAACCACACAAATTCACATTTTGAATAACATACATTAACATCTCTATATCCGATCAATCTTTAGATGAATTACGATACAACATAAGATGAACAACCTTCATATTTGCATATACCTAATCCCGACCAAATACCTAAAAATGAACAGATTATATAATGAATAACATCTTAATAGACGAGGATTTTTTAAAAATTAAAAATTAAAAAATCCATCCCATTGGACCCCACTTTAATGTGGGTAAAATCCCCCCTTACACCCCCTGGTGGGAATCGAACCCTGGTCTTATACCAGGAAAGACAACAACCTAACCATTAGGCTGTCATTCAATTCCCTTAATAGACGAACAATAGTCATGCTTAGCATGATAAATAATCATCACATCTGTATACATCAAATCCAAACCAAAATATTCACAATGGATATATTAAATGATAAATAACAAATTCGCAGAGGGTGAATAATTACTTTTAATAGAATGAATAACGGATCAACATCGTACGCGATATCCATAAAACACAAATTGTATTTAATTAGAATGGTGAATAATCATTGTTACCTGAGATTTAACATCCAATGGATGAAAAACCATTTATAGTCGAATTCACAGACCTTTTTTTTAATTTAAATCAGGCGAGAACCTGAAAAATTTATAGATACCTAGAAAAAATTTTCAGAGCAGTGCTTAAGACTTACCCTGTACAAGAGACCATCAAAAATATGGAGATTTAAATATCAGTAAATATACTGATACTTTAAAAAGAGACCTAATTGTACCTATACAAAATTTGTCTAATGTCTGGTAACCCAACCAAAATTATGTCTAATTGGACCTTTGCACACACCTTAGATCTACATAACCCAACGAAAAAAAATACATCAATCGTTGAAGCAATTAATAGTATTACCTCCTTCCCTCTTCAGTCATCGAATTGCTCTTATTCGAACCAGAATATACAATTGTAGCCCTCTACATGAATATTTCAGAAAAAATATCATTATTAAAACTTCATACATGAAAGAAACACGCAAAAACCGATGAATAAGATCATATATTACCTGAATTCTCAAATTCACCAAAGTATATTGCAACCAAAATCAAAAGATTGGATGCACAAATCTGATTTCGTCTTCAAAAGCAATGACAACAAGAGGTCTGGTTGCAAAACCGCCGCAAATGGAATATTTGGGTTTTAGACTTTGAGATTCAGATATATTAGATGGATTGGGATAGCCAAATAAACGTAGGTGATGGCTGAAAATTAGGAGAAAATCGTGGTTATGGGGGTTTGAAAATCAAAGAGTCCTAGAAAAAAGGGATAATAGATGACAGTTTCAAAAATCATAATTTCGGACGCGTGTGTATCACACCTGGAACACCTTGCAACGTGTTCATAGGTGCCATATATTATAATTGTGATTTCCTTTGCCTATTCAGTATTTGTAACTGCTTTTCCTTTTCCATTTCCTTATCTCTTCTTTTCTTTCGTTCTTTTTATTTTATTTTTTTTTTCTTTTTAGAATCGGACCTATTTTAATTCTTGGTGTCGAGAAGTTTTTTTGGTAAGTATATTGTTGCGTTGTGGTTTTCTAATTATATCTTGACTTGATCTTTTTTTATTTAATTACTAATAAGAACATATGAATTATTATTGTAATTTTTTCATATATAATACAGATGCTAAATGACTGTTGTATCTCAAAGAAAAATAGTACTTCAAGAACTAATTAACAAGGAACGAATCATTTAGTACTTAATCAATTTGCAACAAAAAAAAAAAAAGAGTCGGTGCATATTATGTATCAAAGCTTTATTCGCAAAAGGGTTTTAAGTTGGTGGATGGTTGGTCATTGGTTCAAAACTAGAAACGATTTCTTTATGAAAGGCAATGTAAGAATCTTTAATAAATATCGCTCTTGGCGGAAGAAAAGAAATCATTAGCATCGGAGATCTATTGTGATTATAAAGGGAAAATTTCCCAAAAGGGCTCATGAAAGATCAAAATTATTATTAAGGGCATTACTATTTTTTATTCTTCCTTTTATAAATGGGTTAAATATAGTTAATGTTTTTTAACAACCTAAAAAATTATTTTATCCTTCCTTTTACTCAGTGTTAATTTCGCTCATTAATTTTACTCAATGAATCTCTTATGCTGGAATTCCCGGGGACTGGGAATCCCTGGAAATTTGCTGAATTGCACAAGGTGGTCCGTACAAAATCCCCTCAATTGATTTTTCTTTGTGAAACAAAGTGTG